TTCTCTTCTTTGGGATCTCTATCTGGACTACATAGTCACGTGGCACCATGGGCCATGACTCCTATGATGCACCCACACCGCTCACCAAGAGGGGAAAAGGTGGTGCAGTATGATTGAAATGTGATTTGGCCCAACAGTCTGGCCCAGAGAAAAGAATGGGATTGTAGGACCAACCTCCATGATACGGGACAGTGCCATTTTGAATCAACATTCTAGTTTTTGACCAAAATATTTTCAGTTTCAATATTTTTGTGAAAAAGTCAACCTTTTCCAGTGAAAAGTTAGATGAAAATGAAAACTGGATTTGACAAAACTACAGGAGAAAAAGGCCTATTTTTCCAAGCAGTTATAATGTTCATAGTGGCTTGCCCTGAAGGTAGGAAATGTTTGTGCTGTGTTACACACCATTTCTTTCTGTAGGGTTGTTCATGAATGATTTTACTTACTTGGAAGAAAGGAATGCCTTCTTTGGCCTAGCAGCCAGTTGTGCTTCCAGAACCACTTAGCACCTGCTCAACTTTCCAGTGGTTGTGAGTAAAAATACAGGAGGTTGGTTTAGGTAGAATCCTGTGGTTTTGTGTCCCCTCTCTTAGTCTTGGTTACCATTCCCTCACTCTCTTTTCTGATGCCCAGCCACGATGCATCAAGTGGCAGGGAGCCAAGACACTCTTTCACCACATGCCATCCAGGTGGGGGAGGGGAAAAGAAGCTCAATTGCACTGACCTACCTGCAGGAACAGTAAGTAACTTCCCAGGAAGCCTCCGGAGCAACTTGGATGTCACATTACAACATAAACTAAGAAGAAAATACTGGTTGTGATGGGAGTGGAGCATTTCATCCAGATGCTGTGTGAGTATCATGCATGGAACATGGGTAGTGTATGTTACATTTGCAGCTACTACCTATCATGGAGCAAGAGACTTTGGTTTGATGCCTCAAGGTCAAGCATAAGATTTTACACGCCACAGGGATTAATGGTAATAGGTGTAGTTTGCATCTTGGGAAAGGCTCCTCTGCTCCATTTTCGCTGGGTGGAGTCAGTTTTTTCCTGCAGTGTTGCATGTATTCAAATGGATCGTATGTTAAATCTTTTTCTCAGACATGTTTGTGGTCAGACAGCAGTCCAGGGGTTAATGATACAAATGAAATAAAAGGCACCGAATGTAGGTTCAGTTATAAAAATGAACTTTTTTTATTGAGCCCAACTGGCAGTGAATTTATTGAGTCAAATTAGCAACAAATTAACTGAGTCAAACTGGCAAAATATATTTTTAGTCCTGAGTAGTTCTCCTGAGAAAGGCAAAAACCCAGAGGGAAAACCCCTCTTTTTAAAGAGGGGAAAAACTCTGGGAAATTCCTTTCTGACCCTCTAGGCAGCGATCGGAAAAATGCCCAGGAGACCAAAACAAAAAACTAAAGTATTAAATGAAAAATACAAATATATCTGTTATAAGCAAAAGAAAGCGAGCAGAATGATGTCCTGCCAATACATAAACTGGGGTCCAGATTCTCAAAGGTGCCTAACTCCCATGACCTAAATGCCTTTGAGGATCTGGGCTTGGGTTACCAAAGATAGTCTGGTGACAAAGCAATGACCAGCCATTTTTACCAAAATAGAAATTAGCAACCACTGTTTCTATTTATGGCAAGCCACAGTGATATGACAATGGAAAGCAGGCTAAGGGGAACATACACACTGCTTAGCTTTGAAAATAAAATCCACGCCAACCCAGTAAACCCAGTATCTTTTCAAAAGATAAAAAGCTAAGTAATAAGATATCAAGAAGATTGAATATATATCAAATATAAAAACCTCTATATCAGAATTCCTTGGCTCCAACTTTCGGGCTCTCCAGCCTATCTTCTATTACACCATTAAGGAGTTTTCCACTCCTTTTTAAAAAATATCACAGAGCATTGTACCAAACACCCCCCCACACACACTCACACACCAACATGCACACTCCTCCAACACACCATTGCACCATCCACATCTCACACACCTTTGCACCATCAACATATCAGCACGCTCACAACACACCAACATGTTTTAGATGTTGTTCGAAAATATGTGCTCTAGGAATTATTTTGGGAAAGTTCTAGAGCCTGTGTCATACAGGCGGTCAGACTAGATGATCACAATGGTCCCTTCTGGCCTTGGAATCTATGAATACATATCACACAATCCACTGTATAAGATTTTTCCACGTTTCTGCCCAGCAAACACTGGAGTAAGCCCCACCGCTATCTCCTCCCTAATCCCTGCACTCACATTCCCCTTTTCAAGACACACCTCATTCTAGCCATTCACCTCTGTCCTCCCCTTCGAAATGAGATGGAAAAGTTTCCTTTTGTTTACTTCTGAATTGCATTTTTCATTTTATTTTAGTTTTTGGCCACTGAAATAATACACTTGTTTTCAGACTTTCCCTCTCATTTCTATAACTTAAACACTTTTCCTCCTTCTTCACGGGAAGAGGTGAGAAAAAGAATTAAATACAAAAACAACCCCATACGTTCCCCTTCTCTCTTTTTTCTCAAAAGAAACTTTTTTAAATTTGAGACTGCATGGTCTCTCACCCACTTTCTTTCTTGTTCCTTTGCCACTGACTGAAACAGAATGAATGCCAAGATTTTGTTTAGAGGGGTTGTGGGTTTTTTTTTTCACTTTTTCCATTTTTTTCCCTTTTGACCCACCTTTTCCAAACTCCCTCATAGCTCCAATCCTACAAACATGTATGAATGTGCTTAACTTTACTACTCTGAGTAGTTCCATTGAAATCATTGGATTACTCCCACTAGTAAAGTTAAGCATGTGAAAGATGTTTGCAGAATCAAAGTTGAAATTCAGAAAAGTGGCAACAAGAAAAATGAAACGACACCTCTTTGTAACTTTTCACTTTTTCTTCTGCCATGCCATAACTTTTGCAAAAGTTTGAGACATTTTGAAAAGTAATGTATTGGCAAAAGGAAAAAGGAAGGGGAGGGAGCTAAAAGGAACATAGACACACCCCAGCTCTCCTCAGATATTATTTAGTTTCTTGCACTCAGTGACAAAATAAGTGAGAGAAACCCTACGACAACCAGAAATTTTGAAAGTCTATATAATAGGATTGTTATGCCGGAGCCTGCTCTGAGTCAGTGTGAAGCAATGGAAACAGCTGCAATCATGGCTGAGAGCACTTTGTTCAGAATATCACCAGGAGGAATAACCACTGAGTTTTGCGATATGTTAATATCCCATTTTTAAGTTCTCAGCCATTTTGACTTTACAAATCACACTTGTGCAGTGTACAGCTACAGTATGGAATGTCTGTGCCATGCCAAGAGACCTAGACCATTGTGATATCAGGATAATACAACCAATCACCACCCTCATTCTATAAGCTAGTTTGCATGCAGCAATTTCATTGGTTGTATGAGGGAGACTGCACTGAAGGTGGACCAACTGCCCAACCTGTGTGCCTAACTATCACGTGCACAAAATACAAATCTCCCAGCTCAACTCTTTCTACATACAAATCAACACAACTAACACACACAGCCCCTCACCACAGCATACACCCTTCATTTATTACCTGCACAAACTAACAACTGTCCCAACACAACACACACATTTTCCCACTCGCACTCATACTTACCATAAACTTGAGAGGCAAAGCTGCAGGTCCATTTCTAGCTCAAAATGAGATTTTTTTGGGAAAACTGGTCTATTTCTAACCTTGATCGAGATCAGTTGAAGGAATAGTGTGAAAAAGATCAGGACTGAATGAACATGGGGAATGAATTCTTCATTTACCTCAGTAGAGAATGAATGAAGATGAATTATTCTGAAAAAAATCTTTGGAAAGAAGTCTGAAGAAAACTTCTATGTAAGTCTTCCACACCGATTTGGCCTAGGTGCCAAGTGAAGCTGACAGGTAGTTTGGAGGTTTTCCCCCATCTCATCTTTCAAATTCTCAAACCATGAAATCTTGTACCTTCTAGCGATCCATTACCAGGCTATGGGGTACATTAAGCATGGTGAGCAGAGCATGATTCTACTCTGAAAAGTGACTTTGACTCTCAAGGTACATCTACACTGTAATAAAAGTCCCACAGCATGTCTGCAGCTGGGCCAGCTCAGCTGACTTGGGCTCATGGGAGGGATGGGTCTCAGAGCCCAGACCCTGAATGTCTACACTGCTATTTGTAGCCCTGCAAGCTCAAGTCAATTTAGCTGGGCTCTGTGACTGGGTACTGTTTTTTTTATTGCAATGTAGACATAACTTCAGTGATTCCCTGTCAAATGTGCTCAGTTTACAGGAAAAAAAGGCAGAACTGCTGAATAAGGTGCCACTTTTATATAGTCTACTTCAGGAATCGGTAACTGTAGCAAGGCTCCCTGCTGCCCCGGAGGGGGATGAGCCTCTCTGGATGCCAAAGTGGGCGGTGCCAGCAAACCCTGCGCCCGCCCCTCAGAGATCAAGGCGCAGGACAGGAAGTATAAAAGCCCGACTCCAGAACTCACTTGTCTCTCAGCCACCGGAGTGACCAGACGCTTGTGGCGTAGCTCCTGGTGGGGAGACCACCACGATTGGTGGCCGACCCGAGGACTGGCCATACCAGCCAACACCTGATACTAGCCTGAGCCCAGAGAGGCTGCCGAGCCTACCGCTCGCCCATTACCCCAAGGAACTGCCAGACCTACCATGTGCCAGTTACCCCGAGGAGCTGCCAAACCAACCGCTTGCCAGCTATCCTGAGGAGCCTATGGGGTGTGACTCCACGGAGGATGCCGTCCAGACCCAGGTACCTCTAGAGGGGGAGATAAGAAGTAGTCTGGGGGCAGCTGACCCGAGTCTGGCTGCAACATTGCCAGAGCCAATGTCACTGTGTTGTGGTCAGGATCCCCACTGACACAGCAGGGGGGTTTCTGCCGCTGCTAGGGCCCTGGGCTGGGACACAGTGGGGTGGGTGGGCCTGCATCCCCCTGCCATCCACCTCACGGGTGGCAGTCTCCCCCTCTCCCTGGCTGCTCAGAGCCAGGAGCCTGGGGTTTGCTGTTCTGACTGTTTGTTTGTTGCCCCGTCCTGACCCAGGGCCTGGGCTTGCTAATATTGAACTGTTTGCTCAGCCCCTGCCAGAGGGCCGGAGCTGCTGACTGTTTACCGCACAGCCGAGCTAATTCCCTGACACACCTGATCAAAGTAGTGAGGCAGTCTGGCTCCCCGCCGCCCTGTAGGTGAACGAGCCCCGGCCAACCAGTCTACAGCAATCTTTGGAACACGGCCCATCAGGGAAATCCACTGGCGAGCTGGGATGGTTTGTTTACCTGCAGCATCTGCAGATTCGGCCAATCGTTCCCACTGACCGCGGGTCACCATTCCAGGTCAATGGGGGCTGCGGGAAGTGGTGGCCAGCACATCCCTCAGCCTGCGCCGCTTCCCGCAGCCCCCATTGTTCTGTAAGTGACTTTCTTCTAGAACAAAGTGTTCGGGGGAGAGAGGGGAAGCAGGGGGAGAAGAGATCATCTTCCCTCCAGGTATCTCTTGTCTCATGATCAATCCTTATCTCTTACACACAAAAAATGACCTTATTTTCATGGGTTCTGTTTTGAGGGTGGCTGTATGTCACAAACACATGGCTATGAGACTCCAAATTTGTATTATAAACTCTACCCTGGGTCTTGAACGAGCATTTCAAATCTCAAGCAGATCATTGTATCTTTGTTTGTAGGGAGGACTAAAAATTCAGTTTTAAGCAGAAACCATGTTGTATCCTAAGTTCTGATACTCTTAATACTGCCTCATGATCCCACCTGAGAACCACTGACCTAGAGGATACATACCTTTCATTCCTGGCTTTCGGCTTCTGGAGCCTCATTTAACGGTATCTACATAGGAAAGCAATGAAAATGTAAAAATGTTTGAAATTTGTTCAGCTGTGTTAGCCATCACCTCAAGTGTCCCTTTAACCGTGCTTGCTGGCTCGTCAGTTCTGCAGCTCTGGCCATCCAAGGACTGTCATAGCTAGAATAAGAATAAATAAAATTTGTCATCATGATACACATTATGGCCTTTACATGAACACAAAGAAATCCATGCACTAAAGACACCATAAATAGCTTCCATTCCACCAGTTTGTGGTGTTCATGCAGCATCCCGCATCAGAAAGCTGCCCTGAAGTGGCAGGTGGGGCTTCCTCTGATGTAGAAGAATCCTCAGGTGTTTTAAAAGATGGGATGGCGAGTTCTATGCCACCTGATCAAGCTAAGGAGATGAAAATGGCAGGAGGGGATGGGGCTGGCAGAGTGGGCTGTAAGGCATCAGCGCCAGATTAAGTCAATTCAGGTCACTGTGGAGGCCCACCATGCCACTAACTGATTATTCATCTAGACAAGTCCACAGGTCTATTGTTATAGGCTCTCTGCAAACTCAGGCAGGCTTCACTGTATCAGTTACACTAGGCTCATGTTTCAAGCTCTTCTTCACAACCATGAGGGATAGAAACCTGTTTTTAAAAAACTGCCAAGATTCTGATGTTATCAGGTGTCTTCAGGATTCATAATAGCCATGCTGAGCTCTAGTCTGAGAGGAAAGAGTATACGTCAGTATAATATATTGTAATAATTTGAGATTGCTACCTGTTGACTTGATAATAATAGTTTGAATGTATTTAGCCCAAGCCAGGATTCAGTTAATACCACTCCAACAGGAAGCAATCTCAAGCTATAAACGTCTAGGTAAATGGAACTTGCAATGCATCCAATACCTCAGCTATCCTTTTGACATTTAATCAATCACAAATGCTGACACCATAAGCATTATTTCTTAATTCAATTACTTGTTCATTCTTTGCTTTGGATTATATTTATATTGCTGTGTTAGTTTAAAAGATAAAACTACTTCTGAGTTCATATTATTAACAAATAATATGATACCCTTTAATTCATGGTTTTAAAATCCTTTAGCTTAATTTTGTCACTAACAATATCACAGGAAGGCAACAGTTTGGTGGCAAATCAAATTATTCTCTTTCTGATTATGCAATATGATTTTTTTGTGTGCTAATTGCTCTCCTGTGCTGCACCTTTGATTTCTTCACACCTTACCTCCAGGTCTGGACAACAAAGGGACATCTTCCAGGAGCTTAGGCACGACACCTCGTCAGACAGCAGAGGGAACGAGAGCTCGTGATGAGAGCAGCTCCAGGAAGAAAACAGGTGCTGCCAGAACTAGCATTGGTGTTTCTGTATGGGATACAATTCCTTCCAAGACAAAGAGGCTATTGCTGAGTTGCAGGGGGCTGTGCAAGAAATCGAGTATTGCCACCTCTACAATCTAGCCTGATGTCAGAACTGCACTGATGGCCAAGCATGGTGTTGGAGGCATTGTGTTCCTAGATGCATTGTCATCCAGAGCAGATGCAAAATTCACAACTCCTCTCTGCCAGGTCATGAAAAATGGAAAGAGTGCCACTGGAAAAGCAGCAGAGCTGATCCCACCGTCCTGGCTACAGTCCATCTTATTTCATTACATTTTGCTTCCAGAAATTCTCAGCTTTTCAAGTCCAATGAAAAGGTTTTCTGGGACATTGCATCCTTACTTTTCTTTCTTGCTGATACTTTTCTTGGCTTTTTTTTTCCCTGTGATCTAGAAAGCATAGACAGATTAACCCCACCTTAGTGCTTTATATAAACATCAAACCCAGTAGAAGGAAAAGATGTTACATCGAGAAAGTCACTGGAGCCTCTGTGGTATGAAAGTGAAACTAGAACCCTTCAGAAAATGGGGTTTTAGAGTGGTTCACTGATCCAAATTCCAAGAGACTATCGTCTTGCTGCAATGCTGGAGAAAACAGGAAGATTTGCAAAACATTTTTGTAAAGAAGAGGTATGGCTGAAGTAATTAGTTTTTGGCATTTTGGGGTCATCAAAATCATACCTGCCTGTGTCTCCTTTATTATTTCCCTGGTCCAATAAAATGAAATCTATATGCTTTGAAGCTAGAGGATTTATATCATCATACACACATGTATCAGCAGCTCTGGCAATAAAATCATTTTCTGCTAGAAGGGATCCAACCCCTCCCATCACAACAGGATCAACATCAATCGCTCCGAAAGGAAATTATAACCAACAGCATCGGCGCACCATGTAATTGTCACCAATCTCTTTTTTCCGCTTCGCTGTTGCCTCTCTTTGCCCATCAGCTGGCTCTTCCCACAGTGATCCAGTGTTCCCCTCAGTTCCCCTGAGTACTGGCTCAATCTCCCTCATACTATGGCCTCTTCCTGGGGGTGAAATGTGATGCTTTAGGACTGGAAAGCAGCTGTACTGGCCTCCTATCCCTGCCTGCTGTGCTGCACTGAGACATGGGGGAGTGAGGGTGTAAGCAGAAGGAGCCATGAGGAGGGAAGGAGAAGGAGAAAGCCTGGACTGCCCAGTTCTGGGAACAGTTGGGAGTTAGAGCTAAAGGGCATAAGTGGGAAATCAAACACATAGACCCTGGTGCTAGTTCTCTGCATGGGGTGAATCTCAGTTTAAGGGAGGCCTGAGGTATGTTTTTTATAATTTATATAATTTTTATATTTATAATTTTAACCCCAGAGAAGATTCCAAGTTAAAGGGTTATTTGCCATCCCAGCTCTCACTAAATGATAGTAGATGGGCTGTATATTTCATTTACTTCCCCTTGCCTTCTAATTTACTTTATAAAGTTATCCTTTTTCTTTATAACTCCTGCGGGAAATAAGGAATATTTAAAATGGATGATGCAATATGCTGTAACAGTGATATTTCTTTTAAAAGGCTTTAAAATATGCATGAAATGAGCAGGGTTGATACTTACACCACACAAAGGGCGCTAGAAGAATAAGGAGAGAAATTGCAGCAGTGATAAGGATGGCAGCTGTGTTGTCAAAAAATGGTGAGCAGCCTTTTCCTGGAGGTCAAAAGAAGAAAGGAATGAAATACCATGTCGCTAGTTTATTTGCTCGGGGGAATTTCCGCAGCTGGGATTCTGAGTTTCACAAGGGCCGGGGCTCAGGTGCTGTAAAAGCCCTGCAGCTGGCAGAGAAGAATTCTCCTGATGCAGTAGTGCAGGGATTGGCAACCTTTGGCACGCGGCTCACCAGGGTAAGCACCCTGAAGGGGCCGGGCCAGTTTGTTTACCTGCCGCGACCACAGGTTTGGCCGATCGCGGCTCCCACTGGCCGCGGTTCACTGCTCCAGGTCAATGGGGGCTGTGGGAAGCGGCGCGGGCCAAGGGATGTGCTGGCTGCGGCTTCTCGCAGCCCCCATTGGCCTGGAGCGGCAAACTGCGGCCAGTGGGAGCCACAATCGGCCGAACCTGCGGATGCGGCAGGTAAACCAACCGGCCCAGCCCGCCTGGGTGCTTACCCTGGCGAGCCGTGTGCCAAAGGTTGCTGATCCCTGCAGTAGTGCATATGTAACACCAACAGACCCCAGTCATTGGGAATCAAACCAGGGACCTCTGGAGCTTAGTGTATGAGCCTCTACCGCATGAACTAAAAGCCACCTGGCTTTAGCTCTCTCTAAGTGGTTTTGGTGCCACTAGATGGGACAGAACACCACACCCTCTTTGTAAGCCCTGGTGTAGAAGGCTGGCCGGGAACCGGGCTAGACATGGGGAGGACATGCTGTGCTCGAAGGTCCCTGTAGTATTTAGTGCTATGGAGATTCTCAGCTGCCGTGGGCTGTGGGGGGAACTTGAAATCTTTATTTTGCACCAAATATAAATAAGTTCCTTTTAAAAAAAATGCATCTTTGCAGAAAAACAGACAGTATAAATTTTAATCCGCGAAAGATGGGGGCTTACTTTGGAGGTGCTGGATGTTCTGTGTAAGGAAGATGGCAAACAACACAACTAGAATCACTCCCCCAAGAGCTGCAGTATCCAGAATGACACGGTACACTTGGAAAGAGAAAAGAAATAATAAAATGCTGCCATATTTGATTGACACAATTGAACATAGATGGAGATTGTTTTTTTTCTTCTCTTTGTATGTAAGATCATTCCTGCTTCCTGTACAATTGCAAAAGCCTTTGAAACCTGATTCTTGAGATGACCCATGGTGAGTCGCAGCTCGCTCATGAGACTTCCGTGCAGCAAGTAGCAACAGGAGTCAACAGGTCTGCAACAGTTTATTGAGTTTTGTAACATGTTATGTGATGTTAAGCTCTCTGTACATATGTTTTCTTTGTTTAACATTTTAAGGCAAAGCAGGAATGGGCAAACGTTACTAAGTATCAGCCAGCAAGGGGGAAAGGTACAAAGTGCACTTAATCTGCTGCCAAATGCTAGCAGCTGCTCAGGAGGTGTGGGGCCTTGCCCGCATCACAGTCCTGCTGGCTATGGAATTCTGCAGGCATGCTAGCCAACTGCACAGCTTCTTGCTGGGTCAGTATTGTGTCTGGCTCCTTGAAAGATGAGGGGTGGGGGGGGGGATTTTCCTTGTATATTCTTCTCCCTCTAGCCACACACATGGGCAGCCAAAACTTTGCCCTCAACATATACGATACGTCTACATTCTGAGCTGAGGGTGTGATTCCCAGCTTGAGGAGACAGACTTGCATTAGCTCTCATTGCGCTACTGTGCTAAAAGTAGCAGTGCCGTCATGGGAGAGGCAAGTCGGCCTGAGTATGTACCTAGCATCTCTTATGGGCACGTAGAAGTCTATTACCTTCCACAAGTAGGGCATAGTGTTAAGCTCCTATGAGGACAGTTAGAATTGGAAAAAACAGGCCTAAGGCCACTAACTGGGGGAGTCTAGTTGTCACGCTTCATACCAACTGTGCCAACAAAGCTCAGCATTTCAAGAAATGTGTCGTGTAACCAATGATAATTGCTACAATACATTACAGCTACACCACTCACTCTGAGAATCATAGACATGTAGGGTTGGAAGAGGCCTTGAGATCCTCTTGTCCATCTGCCCACACTGAGGCAGGAATAACTGTACATAGGCCATCACTGACAGATGTTTGTCTAATCTTCTCTTAAATGTCACACATATATAGGTACATATACAAATAACCTATTACTTACTTGTTTTCTTTTTAAACATCTCAAGGTGTTGGGGACAAATTGCCAAGACCACACTTATGAGAAGCGTTACCACGATCACCCACGTGAGGAAGATCATATACAATACAAGGGCTGTGGAGAGACCTGTGGAGAAATAGGGAATGAAACTAGAATTGCTGTACCTACAATTAGGCTCTGGTTCTGCAAATCACTCTGCATGGGCAAACCCCTGCAACCACAAGGTGTCCCTTTGGAGGTCTGCCAAGATGGAGTAAGTAGCAGGATTGGGTCTTAGTTAAGATGACAGAAGGGCTGTTTTGGTTAATTCTGTTTCACTGTGGTTTAATAACTGCCAGCCAAAACATGTTAAGCTGGAGTTAAGGATGAGAATATGTATCAATAATAAACATCCCATCCTCAAAAGCTTTATAGACCCAAGAGATTCCTACTTAAGGCTAGATGTAAAAACAACCAAACACGATAGAGTGTGGAAACATATAGTTAAAGCATCCAAACAACCTTAATTCCACCCTGCAGGGATGCCACAAGGGAAAAAAAGTTATGGAAAAAACATTAATCTATTTTTAAAAATCTGTTTAAGCTAATAAGGGACTGCCAGAAGCAAAGTTTCTTGTTATTAATTGTGTGGCATGACCACAGTGCAGGTTTAAGGAATGGGGGTCCCAAGCGGGTGAGGTGGTATGGAAGGGGTCAGTGAGATCCCAGTTTACAAAAGGACTTAGGCACATATTTAGCTTTAAATACAAGTTAAAGTCCTGATTACTTCAGTGGGATTTAAGCACACGTTTGAAGGTGTGTTTAAGTGCTGACGAGAATATTGGTACTGTCCTGCTTTGAGGCTAGAACGGCAATATGGGAAGAGCTGGACCTGATTATCTTTCTTTCTCTTCCTTCTTCCGGTTTTATAATAAAATTGGAGACCTGGGCACTTATCCTAGGGGCACCTCTCTCAACCCCGGCGGAGAAGACAGGTTTACTTACTAGTGGCTCTTTGACTCCATTTTAGGCCCCCTCCCATGTCCTATGAGTGCTGTGATTTATACCCTCATGTAGCCCCATCTAGCTTAGGGAAACAGCTTGGAAAAGTTTGGATCATTGGCTGCAGTAAGATAAAGGAGGAGCCCGGGGATGAAAAAGTGGTTGCCATCTTGTGGGAGTAAGTGCTGGTTAGAGCTTTAATTTGTATGGAGCTTTAATTTCAAATCTCCCATCTCAGATATGTACAGTGGCCTCCCGCCTTTTCTCCCCTTTTGCTGATTTTATGATTCTATAGTCCATATAACCCATGCTATAGTGACAGGGTGACATCCTGCCTCTGAATCTTCCAGGTATGAAATTAATAAGGTGCTTTTGCTTTTTGAGTCTAGTGCTGAACCTGCTCCTTTGACTAAGAGCACGTTCACTTCTGCAATCTGTTCCATCTGCTTCATTCACTGCACATATACCCTTTAGTATGAGAACCAGGGTGGGCCTACCTTCTTCCCATATCCAGAAGACAGCAGCAGTGAACATCAGGATGGCCGAGACACACACCAGCCCATGGATGAATACGATAAGCCATCTCCACAGCTCTCCCGCTATGAAAGCAACAGATACATTAGTGAGTGACATCACCACCCCTATCACCAGTGGTACTGCTCTACAACATGGTGTCCTCCATCCAAGATCATGATCCATGATCATGTAGAGCAAAATGGCATCTTCCACACAGCATGACCTTGCATGCACTGTACATGCAAGGTCATGCTGCATGGAAGATGCCATTTTGTAGAGCACATATATCCATGTGTGGCCCGTGGAGGTGCCCCAAAACTAGCATCTGGACAAAAGCACTGAAAAGGTTGGATCAGATTCTAAAATAAGGAAAAACCTTGCAGCTCAGAAGAGATCCCCTTTATCAAAGGGATGAATGGAGATAGTTCAGTATACACACACGCAAGAGGAGAGTGGTGCTAGTTAATATGAAAAAGAACTTCTATAACTAATTAGGCCTGTGTTACTATATTGCCTAATCTATTAGTTAGTTATAGGAGAATTAAAGGGGTAAGGACCTTAAAATATTGCTGTGCCCGTGCCTCTCACTTTGTAAAGAAGTGAGGACATAGTTATATCCTAGTATGCGTGTAATTAAAAAGAAAGCTGGAAGTGGGGCAGGTTTAGGGGACCTCCATACCATACTAGGAATAAGCTCTGTATTTTGTTAAGAGGCCTGAGAGGCCTGGGGTGAAAGTTGCCTCATACCAGCATGAGGTGGAGTAGCCCACCTGCTAAAGAGAAACCCAGATGAATTTGATACTAAAATGAGCTGGGAAAGAGAGGAGGGGAGAGAAAGGAAAGGCTGATCAGTATTTAAGGTAAGTTAAACCAACAGGGTTGGGTGGACGGGGCACTGGCATGGGAGTCATAGGCTACATCTACACTACGGGGGGGGGGTTGATTTAAGATTCGCAAATTCAGCTACGCGAATAGCGTAGCTGAATTCGACGTATCGCAGCCGACTTACCCCACTGTAGGGACGGCGGCAAAATCAACCTCTGCGGCTTCCCGTCGACGGCGCTTACTCCCACCTCCACTGGTGGAGTAAGAGCGTCGATTCGGGGCGTGAATGACGGGGGCCGCGGGG